AACCGGGAATTAGAACGAACGGGGAAAGGAAAAATAAGAAAGACTTGGTAACGACAAAACGACATAAGTAAAGTTAATGGAAGAGAGGGAGTCATATTGGCCATAAATATTTCGGAAATAATTCTACTTTGAGAGAGAGAGAGAGAGAGAGAGAGAGAGAGAGAGAGAGAGAGAGAGAGAGAGAGAGAGAGAGAGAGAGAGAGAGAGAGAGAGAGAGAGAGAGAGAGAGAGAGAGAGAGAGAGAGACACATAACACACAGGACACATACGCACACACACAGACAACACACACACACACACACACACAAGACACACACACACACACACAGACACACACACACCACACACAGGAACGTACGCAAACAAAACCACACACATTTACTTCAAACATTATTTCTCACAAATGTAAATTTCACTTAAAGTTTCTGTGTACATATACAACATAACACAAACACTTGAATAAATATACATTTTAAAACCACGCACTTCTCGATTCAAATGAAAACATAAATAAAAAGCATAAATGATTTCCTAAAAGAACGACTAACTAATATTCTTCAAATGACTTTACTATTTTTTTATAAACAAACATTACAAGCTCTCTAACTCAGTACATTTTCAAACAATACATTTATTAACTGTAAATGCTCAAAGAAAGTTTATAAATAATGTTGAAAATGACTTTAGTGATGAATGGTGCTGCAAGTGGCATGTATTAGTTGCATTATCCTAAAAGCACGATTTTTCTTGTTGTAGATCTAATAGTAACGATAATGACAGTTGTAGTTGTTTAAGCCGTAGCAGTAGTATTAACGTTAATTGATATTGATGACGATGGTGATAATGGCAGTAACAACAGCTACAGCAATAATAGTGATGATAATGATAATAGCAATTATGATAATGATAACGATGTTGAAAAAGATAATATTGATAATGATGAAAATAATATGGATAACATGATTTGATAATGATAACGATGATAATATTGATAATGATAAATATAATGCTAATGATATAAATAATGATAATTATAAAAAACATAGATAATTGTCACAATAGTATAAATGATAATAGCAATGTTAACAATAACAATGATGATATAAGAATAATATGTATAAAAATTATAATAATTATGATAATGTTAATAATAATAAAAATATCAATAATAATAATGATTATAACAGGATTAACAATTATGATAATAATAACAATAATAATGACAATAATAATAATAACAACAATAAAAATAATAACGATGATGATAAATAAAAAATAAAAACAAACAAAAAAGTACCATATTCGCATTTTTTCGACATCATCGAATACCTCGACTTATGAATTATTATAACGTGATATGAAGGTGAAATATTTGATATTGTGTGAGATTGTTTTGGGGGATCTGATGGGAGGGAAGGAGGGGAGGGAAGGGGAGGGAGGATATGGAAGGAAGGGGGGGGAAGGGAGGGGGAGGGATGGAATGGAAGGTAGGAGAGGGGAGGGAAGGGGAAGGAGAGAGATGAGGAGGAAGGGAGGGAGGAGGATGGAGATGGGAAAGGGAAGATGAAAAGGAAGGGGAGGGAAGGAGAAGGGAGTGAGATAGAAAAAAGAGGGAAGGAGGGGGAGGGAAAAGGAAGGGAAGAAAGGAAGAAAAGAGAAGAAGGGAAAAGAAGGAAAGTGAGAAAAGAAGAAGAGGAAAAGAGAAAAAATAAGAGAAAAAAAGGGATAAAATGTGAAATGAAGGGATATACGGAGAGGAGAAAGGGAGAGAAAAAAAAGGAAGAATGGATGCAAAGAATGAAATCATATAATCAAACTTTTTCCTTTTTGATATCGTGAAGACAGCTCCTCCTCCTCTCCCCCCCTTACCTCTCGCTCACCCTTTCTTCAGAGGTCGATGGGGGGGGGGGGTCAATAGATAGGGGAGGGGTTATAAGCTGGTTACTTGGAGAATGGAAGAGAGAGAGAGAGAGAGAGAGAGAGAGAGAGAGAGAGAGAGAGAGAGAGAAGAGAGAGAGAGAGAGAGAGAGAGAGAGAGGAGAGATGAGAGAGAGAGAGAGAGAGGAGAGAGAGAGAGAGAGAAGAGAGAGAGAGAGAGAGAGAGAGAGAGAGAGAGAGAGAGCCAGACAGAGAGAGAGAATAGATAGAAAATAAATAGAGAGAGAATGCGATACAAAAGAAATAAGAGAGAGAGAGGAGAGCAAGAGAGAAAGCGATAAAGCGGGCACACAGAGAGAGCGCGCGAGGTTTCATGCAAGAACCTCCACGTCTCACGCTGTAACTAGAAGCCTTATTAAAAAGGAATCAATACAGAGCGAACCCAACGTTTCTGGCCTTCCTCTCTCCTCTCCCTCTCCCCTCACTCATTCCCCTCTCTCCCTCTCCCCTCACTCATTCCTCTCTCCTCTCCCCTCACTCATCCCTCTTCTCCCTCTCCTCACTCATTCCCCTCTCTCCTCTCTCCTGCCCTCATTCCCCTCTCTCCCTCTCCCCTCACTCATTCCCCTCTTTCCCTTTCCTCTCTCTCTTCCTTTCCCTCTTTCCCCCCTCCTCTCCCTCTCCCCTCTTTCCTTCCCTCTCTCTCCTCTCCCCTCCACTCATTCTCTCTCTACTCTTCCTCTCTAACTTCTTTCTCCTTCCTCTCTCTCTTTCTCTATCCCTTCACTCATTCCCCTTTCCCTTTCTTCTCTCTAACCTTCTTTCCCTCCCCCCCCTATCTCTCTCTCTCCAGTCCCCTTCCTCCTTTCTCTCTCTCCTTCTTTCCCCCTCTCTCTTCTCTCTCTTTTATCTCTTTCCCTCCCCTTCTTCCCTTTTACACAACCCCTTTCCCTTCTTCTTCCCCATTCCCCTCTTCGCTTATTCCCCCTCCTCTCCCTTCTCCCCTTCCTTAACTCGCCTCTTTTGACTCCAAATCTTTATTTTATTTTATTTTTTTTTTATTTGTTTATTTATTTTTTTTTTACTTTTAACCCCTCTCCGCCTTCTCCTCCCTCCCTTTTATTCTTCTTTCTTTATTTGTTTTCTCCTCTTCTACCATTTTCGTCCTACCTGTACTCTTCTCTTCTCTCTTTTCTCCTCTTGGTTGTTATTCTATCTCGATCCCTTCACTTTTTTCTTTTTAATTAGTTCTTCATTCAAAAATATCTAATTAATGAATAAACAGATAAAAGTATATATTAATGAATGAATAGATAACTAGATAACTAAGTCAACAAATAGAATCTCAATAAATTAAGTAAATAGCTTAATAAATGAATTAATGAAACTCTATTGATTATATTCCTTATTCTATATCTGATGTACATTTACGTCTTGATGTCGAGATCAATATCATCAATATCAAAGCAAGAATGATGAAATTTATATAAGTATTAGTGCCCCCCCCCCCCCGCTGCCACTGCCTATCAGCCTATCCCTCCACTCCCCTCCCCCCTGTTAAGCCTCCCCTCCTCCCCCTATCACCCCTGCCACTCCCCCTCCTCCCTCCCCTATCACCCCCCTCCCCTCCCTTCCCCTATCACACTCTTGTGCCCCCCCTCCCCCTATCACCCCTCCCTCCCTCCCATATCACCCTTCTGTCCCCCTCCCCTTATCCTTCTGTCCCCATCCCTCCCCGTATCAACCCCTTTCCCTCGCCTTCCCCTATCATCCCCCTCCCCCCCTGCCTTATCACCCTCCCACCCTCCCCCTATCACCCTTTGCCCCCTCACCACTATCACCCCCACTCCCCCTCCCCTATCACCTCTTCCCCTCCCTCCCTCCCTATCCCCCCTCCCCTCCCTCCCCCTATCCCCCTCCCACCCTCCCCCTATCACCCTTCTGTCCCCCCTCCCTCTATCCCTCCTCCCCTATCACCCCCTCCCCACCTCCCCCTATCACCCTTCTGTCCCTCTCCCTCTATCCCCTCCCTCCCCCTATCACCTCCCTCTCTCCCCCTAATCACCCCCCTCTCCCCCTCCCCCTCCATATACATTATCAAAAACGAGAAAAAAAAAGAGAGAAAAAAAATCCATTTATATCCCAAACAAGAACTAAAATACATAATTAGCAAAGCGATTGCAAAGGAATGTCTTTGCTTCCTCTATTGCCAAGGAGAAGAAAAAGAAGGAATCTAATTGCAAAATTGCACATAATTGCAGTACGCATTTTGAGCTGTTATCACACGCTTTCCCCGTTAATGCAATTTTCGCATGTGACCGGTGGCGGAGGCGCGATAGATAATCCGGAGAAGAAATAGATAGATTGGAGAGAGAGAAGAGGAGGAGGAAGAATAGAAGAAAGACTAAGGGGGGAGGAAGAAGAAAAAAGGAAAGATAGAGATAGATAGATAGAGCGAGAGGTAGATAGATAAATAGATTGAATAGATAGGATATATTATATATATATATATATATATATATATATATATATATAATATATATATATATATATATATATATTATAAAGAGAGAGAGAGAGAGAGAGAGAATATGAGAGAAAGCGAAAGAGAGAGAGAGAGAGAGAGTGGGGAGAGAGAGAGAGAGGTAGGAGGAGGGAGAAAGTATGATAAGAATCATGAGAAAAATATAGTAAGGATAGCAACAGTTGTGATGTAAATCATAGTAGTAGAAGTAATAATAATGATAACAAGATAACAAGTACAACAATAACAAAATGAAGGATAATAACAATAGTAATGATAATGGAGATAATGATGACAATAATGATAGAAATAATGATAATGAGGAGATGATGATGATATATTCAAAATTATAAAATTAATGATAACAATGATAATAACAATAAACGATAATGATAATAACAAAATAACAACAATTGTAAAACGAACGCGATAATTATAAAAAAACACACACTAACCCTAACAATAATAACAACTTAAGCACATAATAATAATAATAATGATAATAATAATAATAATAATATAAGAAGAAATAATAATAAAATTTTAAAAAATAATAATCTTAAAAATATCCAAGCTGGCAACCCCAGCCGAGGCTCACCTGCGTCTGCGTGAGTCCAAGAGAAGCGGCCAGTTCTGCGCGCTCAGGCAAGGAGAGATACTGCGTCCGTTGAAAGATTTTGTTGAGATGCTGCAATTGCAAGGAGGAGTAGATCGTGCGGGGTTTGCGCATCTTCTTCCCCTTGCCGTTGACTCGCACGCCGTCCAGTTCATGTTTGTCTGTTGAGGGGAAAAGAGGGGAGGGTTTAGTGATAATTGTGATATTGCAGGCAGTAGCGGTGATGATGATGATGATTATGATAGTGATATGGTGATTATGCTACTCGTGATGATGATGATAATGATCATATGAATGGCAATTATGAAGATCGTAAATAATATGACGATTAAATGATAATGATAGGGATGCAGATGATAATATGATAATGATAATAATAATGAATGATTATAATGATAGTAATAATGATAATAATATTATAATAAAAATGATAATAATGATAATAATATAATAATATGATAACAATGATAATAATAACAATAATGGCAATGATGATAACGATGATAATAATAACAAAAAACAATAATAATAACGATGATGTCATTTCATAATGATGTTTACTAATAACGATGATAATAACAAAGTTAACAATCACAGAATTAATAGTGATGATAACAGCAACACACCAACAAAGACAAAGACAACAAGAATGACCTAAAAAAAAAAAAAAAAGAAAAAAAAAAACACTAAAACCTTTGCAGCACTGCGGATGAAAAAGAGATGGGGGGGGGAGGGGGGAGGGGGGGGGAGGGGGGGAGAGAACGAATAAATTGAATACCTTTTTCTCTGAGCTTAATATTTCTTATATTCTTTTGCTTTATCACAATTTAATAATTTCATTATTATTAGAGACAGAAAATGTGATAGAAGGAGAGAAGTAAAACGAAGAGAGAGGAAGAGATAGAGAAAGAAAGGGAGGAGGAGAGAGAGAGAGAGAGAGAGAGAGAGAGAGAGAGAGAGAGAGAGAGAGAGAGAGAGAGAGAGAGAGAGAGAGAGAGAAAGAAAGAAAGAAAGAAAGAGATAAAAGAAAGAGAGAGAGAGAAAGAAAGAAAGAGATAAAAGAAAGAGAGAACGAAAGAAAGCGAAAGAGAACAACCCAAAGAGAGAGAAAAAATAGACGAAGAGGCATAGGAGAGCGAAAGAAGGCGAGGGAGAAAGATAAAATAATTCTCTCTCAACAATAACACCAAATCATAACTGTAATAAAGAGGACGCTAATCCTCGTACGTGAACATTATTTATCATCTTTATCATTCCCACTCTTCCTCCTTCTTTATCCCCCTTTCCTTCCTCCCCTTTTCCTTTTTTTTTTATTCCTTTCCTTTTTTCCCTTGTATTTCCATTTTGTTTCTTCTCTTTTTTCCTGATCCCTTTCCTCTTTCGTGTGCCTTGTTCCTTTCTCTCTTTTTTTTCTTTATCTGTCTGTGTGTCTGTCTGTTTGATAGATTGTGTGTTGTGTGTGTGTGTGTGTGTGTGTGTGTGTGTGTGTGTGTGTGTGTGTGTGTGTGTGTGTGTGTGTGTGTGTGTCTGTTTGTCTGTCTGTCTGTCTGTCTCTCTGTCTCTCTCTCTCTCTCTCTCTCTCTCTCTCTCTCTCTCTCTCTCTCTCCCTTCTCAAACCTCCCCCTCACCTACTACTCTTTTCTACTATCCTTCTTCATCCTTCCCTCTCCCTCCTTCCCCTCCCTTTCCTCTCTCCTATTTAATTTCTTCTTCTCTGCCTTCCCATCCCATCCTCCATTTCCTCCATCTCCCTTCTCCTCTCTCCTTTCTCCTTCATCTCCTCTCTTCGTCTTCCTCCTCTTCCATTTTCTTTCTCCTGTCTTTTTATCTTCCTCCTCCCTTTTCTCCCCTTCCTTCTCCCTTCCTCCCACTCCCCCTCTTCCGTACGAAAATGAATTAGAAAGATTAATGATTATGACAACATGTACCAACGTAATGAGTGAATTATTACTATAAAAGGGACTAATATCGAGGCATCATAATTATTCATATTTTGGCAGATAATATTTTGAAATATCTTAATTAGATGAAAAATTGAGATGGAAAAAATGTATGGTTGAAAAAGCTGCAATCTGTGACACGTAGTATTGTGGAAATTGTGGCTTAATTGGGATTTATTTAAGCTTCCCCTGAAATGAAAATAAAATGGTTGAGAGACAATGAAAACGAGAATAATTTTGAAAAAAAAAATCTAGAAAATAGAAAACTAATTTTGATTTAAATAATCGTTTATTGTTTATTTAGATCATGATTTATTACATCTATTCAATATTACCAGTGTATCTTTGCTTTGAGTTTACCCAATATAAGTTTTATTTTCCTATTATCGTCATTGTTATTGTAATTTCAGAATGACAAAATGGCCGAAAAAGTAATGCCTGTATAAATATATTTTGTGTATAGAAAGTTTCATCTGCCATTATGATTTATGAAATAAGAAAATTAGCCTTTCCTTTTAAAAGAGGAACATTTCCCAACACCATTTTTTTCTTTCTTTCTTTTTGATCGTTAATACATTTTCTCTCTTTTTTATCCAACACGCGTTCTTGACGAGCCTCCCCCCCCATCTTACCTAAAAAAGAAAAAGAAAAAAAACTCAGTCCCCCCTCCCCCCCCCCAAAAAAAAAAAAAAAAACATAAAGAAAACGGAAATGTTCTCAAGACGTGCATGCAACTACGGTCGATTTTCTAATTAGATCTCGCGTGACCGTCGACCTTACGGTGTCACTCAAGAGGGCACGGGGGAATAACTATTTCCTGATGCAAGAAACGGAATTCATGTTAATGTCTTTCCATAATACAGATTTTTCGAAAATGATAAACACGAAATAAAGTGAAGAAATGTGTCTTCTCTTCCTCATAGAGATCTTGCACATGTGTATGGCACTGTAACGCTATGTGTGGTGTCGTATGAAGGGTTTTGGCACTGTGACATTACATATGGTGTCGTATGAAGGGTTTTGGCACTTTGACACTACATATATTGTCGTATGAAGGGGTTTGGCACTGTTTTTGCTGTCATGTCACAATATTCTGTTTTACAGCAGTGTGTCTCACATGGCATTAGATCTAGTACACTGGCACTGCATATACATGTGTTCCAATGTAACTGGCGTCATGACACTGCACGAGGCCTATACTTTTCACCTTCAGTAAAATTATGTAACATGATTAAGACCGATTTAGCACAATACAATGGGTCCTCGGTTTACGACGGCCTCGACTTACGACGTTTCGGGGATACGACGCACGAAATCACGTATTCGAGTTACGTCGATTGCGTCGCAAGTACGAACGTCGCGGTTGAAAGCGGGGAACATTGCGCCACGGACAGCACTGCGATGGTATGATGGCACTTGTGAATTCATCGGGAGAGAAAATAAAGTTTGAATTTCAAAGGCAAGGAATTGTTCTCTTTTTGTATTTAGAGTTTGTATTCCATGTGTTCCTTTGGCCCTAGTTGTGTTTTCGTTTACGTCACTGAAGTGTATTGTTATGTTTTAGATTATGACTTGAATACATGTATAATTCTGCATTAGCATATTGAGTAACTTCGGTGCTTATGTGCGTACGTACATGTTCCGCCTTACGTCAAAATTCGGGCTACGACGCCATCGTAGGAACGGATCTCCGTCGTAAGTCGAGGACCCTCTATAACCCAACAAGTCTAAGCACGTCACAACATAATTCAAATATAACACAATACGCAACACTGTACATCACAATAACTACGGCATATGCAACGACATTCATAGCACTATATATGTACGTTTTGACACTACATTTCAAGTTTTGTTAAACGAAAGAAAAATGAAAACATCGATAGATTATGATGTTCTCCTGTTATCAGAGCTAATAACAGTGTTCAGAAACACGCTACATAACATACCCCTTCAATAACATGAAAAATTATATCAGTTGTACGAGTAAAGAACAAGATGTAATTTTACAACAAGCCTGTAGAACATTTTCCGTGGAGAACATTTGAGAGAGAACGATGGTAAAATGTATATATTAATGGTGATATAGAGATTTTCTTATGACCTGATCTTTGTTGTTTTTGTCTGTCTGTCTGAATGTGTATAAAAGTAAATAGATAAGTAAATGAAGGAAAGAATGTATGAATTAATAGACATATGGCTGGTTCAATTCATAGATGAGAGACAAAATAATTAAAAGGTCAGTTACTCGTATAAACATGAAGTAAATCAATAAGACAGAGAGAGAGAGAGAGAGAGAGAGAGAGAGAGAGAGAGAGAGAGAGAGAGAGAGAGAGAGAGAGAGAGAGAGAGAGAGAGAGAGAGAGAATGAGGAGGAGAGAGAGAGAGAGAGAGAGAGAGAGAGAGAGAGAGAGAGAGAGAGAAAGAGAGAGAGAATGAGTGAGGTTATGGAGAGAGAGAGAGAGAGAGAGAGAGAGAGAGAGAGAGAGAGAGAGAGAGAGAGAGAGAGAGAGAGAGAAGAGAGAGAGAGAGAGAGAGAGAGAGAGAGAGAGAGAGACGCACAAACCGATAGACAGACAGATAGACAGATGGACAGACAGTCAGACATGCAGAGAGAACAAAATGGACACAAAAGGATTGATTATAAATTAAAACAAATATCACGCACGCTATTGCCATACCATCAGTCGACAATTTCCTCGCCATTCGCCTCTCTTTAATCATCGCTCAGGTAATCACTACCTTTCGTTCACGATCATCACTCACCCCTCATCAAAAGCCCGTTCCACTCACCCTCATCACTATCATCACTTTCATCACCAATTCCCCTTATCATTAATTGTTAATAGCCCCATCAAACGGAGAAAAAGTAAATCAGAATTCCATAATTAACGAGCACGTCAAAACTCATTCAAGAACGAAAGTAAATGAAAAACGACACGCGGAATGGAGAAACGAGTGATTGAGTTGCCTAAATTTGTATTAATTTAACCTTTGTAATATGAGTAATTGTGAAGTGATAATGGTGAAGATATTATGAAGTAAAGAAGGGAGTTGAGAAAGGTAATAAAGAAGGTGGATATTGAATTGGAGGAGAGTGATTCAGTTTTCTTTTGTTTTGATTGTGTTGAAGATGATGATGATGTTGATAATGATGATGGTGTTGATGATGATTGGTGATGATGATGATGGTGTGATGGATGATGATGTCGATGGCGAGGATAATGATATCAATGGTGATGATGATGATGATGACGATAAATATGATGAGAATGATGATGGTGTGATGATGATGGTGGTGGTGAGGACTATGATGTTGATATTGGTGTTGACAAAATGATGGATGACAATGATAAAAAGACAAAATGAAAACAGAAAAACAGTTCAAAACGGAAAGAAAAGAACAAATAAGAAAAATGAAAACAAAAACAACAAAAGTAGCAACCAATACTTTCTTCACCCCCACCCCTTCCCCCTTCCCCCACCTCCCTCCCATCCACCCCCACCCCCTTCCCCTTCCTTCCCCCACCTACCCCCACTCCCCCACCCCCTTCCCCTTCCTCCCCCAACCTCCCTCCCCACTCCCCCTCCATCCCCCTCTCTCCCCACTCCCCCCCCCACTTACACCCCACACCCCATGAAGTGCTATAATGGATCGCATGAATTTTTAATCGTGCTGTTAGCGGCTGTTATGTTATGCTGAAATGATTAGCGTAAGTGGGCAATGGGCAGACAGAGTGGGTTGTGGGTGGGTAGATGAGGTGGGTTGCGATAAGAGAAGAGAGAAGAAGGAAGGAAGGAAAGGGGGAGGAGGGAAGGAAGGAAGGAAGGGGGGGGAAGGGTGTAAGGAAGTGATGGAGGGTGGGAAGGATGGAGGGAGGAAGAGAGGGAGGAGAGAGGAAGGGAGAGAGGAGAGGGAAGGGAGAGAGGGAAGAAGGAGGAGAGGAGGGAAGAGGGAAGGAAGGAAGAGAGGGAGGGAGAGAGGGAAGATAAAGAAGAGGGAGGGAGTGAGGGATGGTGGGAGAAAAGGAAGGAAGGAAAAGAGGAGGGAGGGAGGAGGAGGGAGAGTGGGAAGGAAGAAGGGAATGAAGAAAGATAAGGAGGGAGGGAGGAACTAACGAAGTAGAAGAAGAAGGAGACCAAGATGATGATAATGATGATGATGAACAGAGAAAGAAAGAGATAAAGGATGATGAAATAAATACTATTGATGAGCAAGAAAGAAGATTAAGAAAAGGAAGATGAAGAGGATGTCGTAAACGAAGAAGAAGAAAGAGAAGAAGCAGACGAAGAAGAAGAAGAAGCAGGAGAGAAAGGGAGGGGAAGGGGTTAATTAAGAATGATGGAAAAGGAACAAGATGATGATAATGATGAGAGCAAAAAGGCTGATAGCTTTAAAACGAGAAAAGACGGAGGGGAAAGATGCACGAAGAAGAAGGAGAGGAGATGGATTGAAGGAGAGAGAGAGGAGGGGGGGAGGGAGAGAGAGAGGAGAGAGAGGGGGGGGAGAAAGAGAGAGAAGGGGGAAAAGAGAGAGAGGGGGAAGAAAGAGAGAGAGGGGAGGAGAGAGAGAGAGAGAGAGAGAGGGGGGAAAGGAGAGGGGGGGGAAAGAGGACGATGAGAGAGAGAGAAGAGAGAGAGAGAGAGAGAGAGAGAGAGAGAGAGAGAGAGAGAGAGAGAGAGAGAGAGAGAGAGAGAGAGAGAGAGAGAGAGAGAGAGAGAGAGAGAGACCGAGATCGGACGAGAAAGAGAGAGAAAGAGAGAAAGAAAGAGACAGACAGACAGACAGAGAGAGAGAAGGAGAGAGGAAGAGAAAATAAAATCTCAATGAATTTCTTATCAAACGTCGCCAAGACACGCAAGGAGGTAATCAAGGTTTAAAGATGATATATTATCACTCCGTCCCTACAGAGCAAAGTTTTCAAAATAAATACAATATAACGGACACTGGGTTCGAGTGGTGTGTGTGGTGGGGGGTGATGGGGAGAGGAGGGGTGGGAGAGAGGGGGGGGTGGGGGAAGGTAGGGGGAGGGAAGGTAGGGGGAGAGGAGAGTAATGGGGAGAGGGATAGGGAGTATGGAGAGGAGGGGATGGGGGAGAGGAGGGGGTGGGGAGGAGGGGGATAGAGGAGAGGAAGGTAGGGGGAGAGGGGGGAGTATGGAGAGGAGGGGTGGGGGAGGGAATGTAGGGGGAGAGGAGAGTGATGGGGAGAATAGGGGGATGGGAGAGAGGAGGGGATGGGGGAGAGGAGGTGATGGGGGAGAGGATGGGGATGGAGGAGTGGAAGGTTGGGGAGGGGAGTATGGGAGCTAGGAAGGATGGCGGGGATGACGGAGAGGGATGGAGGGGTAGAGAGGCATGGGGAGAGGGTAGAGGGGGAGAGGGATGGGAGACAGGGATGAGGGCGAGGGATGGAGGAGGGGAAGGATGGGGGAGAGGGAAGATGGGGGTAGGGGAGAGGAACGACTGGAGAAGGATAGGAAGTGGGATGGGAGTAGGAGAAGGATGGGGAAGAGGAATGAGGAGAGGGATGGAGGAGGAGGGAAGGTGAGGGGAGAGGGAGGCATATGCCCCTCCCTCTTTTCGTGCCCATATCCAACCCCCATTCAGTCCCCCATTCCGTGCCCATACCCCCAACCCCCCCATCCCCACCTCCCCCACTACCCCATCCCACCCCCCTCGCAAGTAGAATGAAGTGAAAAAATACTAATAATGATAATGATAACGAAAAACAGTTAAAATGTGGAAAAGTGTAATTATAAGCACTATTGCATTGATTTTCCAAATTCCTTGACAATAATTACCGATACGACAAAGAAACGGGGAGCAAATAAAAGAAAGAAAGAAAGATGATTAAAAAATAAGTAAAGGGAGGGTAAGAAAATGATGAAAATCGAGAAAGAGGAAGAGACAGAGGGATAGATTGATGGATAGATGGATAGACGGTTGGATGGATGTACATATGTATGTAATGTATTTAAGTATGTATGTGCGTGTATGTATGTAATCACACAAGTCATTTTCAAGTCGTGGGAAAGTGCCGTCTGTGATTCATTTGTTTAGCTGCTCATGTAAAATTCAAACGCCTTTCATGTACGGCTAATTACTAGTGTTATTGAGGACA